AACCCGAGTGAAGCTTCTCACAAAGAGGTTTCCACTCATTTACTTTTCAAAGTCTTGCTTCTAAATCGTAGATTGTAGAGATTTCAATAAACAACAATCCGCTAGATAATGTTTCAAACAATCGAAGTAGGAGTACATAAGCCGGCCCGGGTTGATATTTAAACATACTTGCCCTATATTGCACTCATCTAAGGTTTATACTTGAGTTTTAGGTGAAATTTAATTGTGATAGTCGGAACGAGTCAATCATCGAGGTGTTCAAATTCCCGTGGATTTTAAAAAAAAAACTTGTCATGGTCAAGGAAATTTGATCTCTCCATTTCACAACACTTGGCCACATCAATATAAGAGAATTTATTTAAAAAAGGACATCATATAGTACGAGGAATTTTATAATGCTATATAGCATTGGTGCTATAGGTTTTTACCTTTATGATACAACTTGAAATTATACCTTTAATGTTATGGTACAACTTGAAATTGTACCTATACTTTTTGTACAAATTCTTTTATGGTACAACTTAAACTTGTACCTTATGTGATGGTACAACTTCAAGTTGTAAAGTTGTACCATAACATAATGATACAAATTCCTTTATGGTACAATCTAAACTTATAAATTTAATGTTATGGTACAACTTCAAGTTGTACATTAAAGCACCAATACTATATAGCATAGTAGAAGTGCTCCATATAGTACCACTACACTTCATAGTCTATAAAATTAATACCGCAATGAGTAGAAATCACAATGGTGTCATACCTGAACCAATATTGAGGTCCCAGATCCAACTCCATAACTGAAACTAGTCACGGGCCCGGTCAGTTGGCCGGATTGCATCACCAATCATATAAACACCAGTAGTAATTTGTATGCGACATAAATAGATTTTTTTGGCAATATAATAAAATTTGAATCATTCAAATATTCAAAATATTCAAATTGTTTGGAAGAATAAGAGAATCTAAATTATTAAAATACTTCAAAAATTCGAAAGAGTCACATTGTACTATTCTCTAACATTTCAGTGACTAATCGGCTAAAATTGTTTTACGACAATGAAAAACAAACCCTATGCAAGGGCACCAACTCCTAAAAACATTCTCAAATTATCCCTTTGTTTACTCCTCGTCGTTAGAGAATGTTGCATGTATTCTTTATAACTTTTTTGCATGTCCTCCATCATGAACAACACCATCATCTCAATCAATGCAGTCAAAAGCGCGATTCTACCTAGAAGCGGAAAAGGGGTAAAATCGTAAAGCGTAGTATCAAAGCGTAAAAGCGTAAGTTTTTGACGCATACTGAAAAATAACTAAAAATCTATTTAGTAGGACATATACTACATAAAATATGAATGCCCAGAATTTAGATAAGTTAATAAATACATGCAATTCATGCCTAAAGTAGAGCAACTTATAGCATCTTAACAATAAGTTCGTAAATATAAATTTTAACAATAAGCCACTTTTTCCTCTATGCTAATGAATTCGGGAAGAGCCTAGCTGGTGAATTAGATCACTCTATTGAAGTTGAGAATGCATCCAAGTACTTGGTATGTATTTTTTAATCACAAATGTATCATATGGTTGGTGATTTACTTTTAAAATATACTTTTTATAATTAATTTCATGAAAAAATACTCATTTAGTGAACTAAAAGCGTAAAAACGTAAAGCGTTTTGGTGAACTAGAAACGTAAAAGCGTAAGCTTTTAAGCTTTAAAATGCAATTTAGTTTGATTTTATACTCTTAAGTTTTTATATGGAAACGAAAGCGGTTTGGTGACCCAAAAGCGTAAAATCGTAAGTTTTTAAGTTTTAAAGCGCGATTTTGACTGCATTGATCTCAATTATTAATAATATCTTCATCTCTATTAGTGAGACATTTATCTACATTATCAATTGCCTCTTCCCTCTTCTCTTGCATTTCATTACTTTGCGGATCCGGAGAATATTTCTTCAATGCATAAAACCACCTATTGGTAGGAGCAATTGTGTTTTACGCAAAATCAACTTATCCTTGTATCTTACTATTTTGAATATACGAAATGGTTTGTTTTGTCGTAACATTATGTTATCAAATATTCATAGTCGACAATCAATCAATGTTTTTTATCACCGTCATAAACAATATATATTTCTATGTTAAGAAGTTTAATCACTAATTATTGACAGTTTGTTATTTATCTCATAGGCTTATGTTGAAAATTTTCAGCATATATAATGGTTTCTCAATTATCTTCTATATGCTGACTCATTGTCAACGTGGAGGTTTATACACTCTTGATGGAAGACATTATACCTTGATTTTTCAATCACAATACTCAAATTTATTATCTTATACAACATACATTAGTTGATTATTCTCAAAATTAGGAATAACTCTCAATCAATGCTTTTTGGTCCCTTATAGTATACCATTGTATTTTTTACCGAAAATGTTTGATCTCTGGATAAATATTGTTTATTCGAATTCAAGGCCATTGACACATCATCAAGGTTCTATAATTGACATGGTATTTTAGTTAATAATTCCTTACTGCCAGCACATGCTTTAAAAATTTAGATATTCTTGGTAAACATTTAAAAGCTAATACTTTCTTATTAGTATAAGTAATTGATAGGATGTGTCTATAATGCATCGCAAGCATATGGTTCAAATCAAGGTTGTCAAACAGGTTTAGGCCGTTGAACTGGTCAAACAAATTGTTTGAGTTTCAATGTTTGGATCTGGTGTCCAACTGATTTAAGCCATTTATCCATATTATAAAAATATACGTGTAATGGTAATAATTTAAGATTTTCATAACTTGATTATAATTTGATAGGTATCATACAATAATTTAACAATTAATATATTATTTGACCTAAAAGCTACGTTTTCCAAATATTAATAAGGCTGGTAGAGGACAAAAAGGCAACATTTTATCTGAGAGTCAGAGATCGATCAATGCATTCTTTCTTCCATGCCTATTGCGAATTTTGCTGTTCTTTTTTATACTCACCAAACTTGCAATTTATAGGGTAAATTGCTTGCGGAGAAGGAAGTGTCAACACATGTTACATTCGATACCACAAAAATGTTCAAATTATTTAATTACTCGCTCAATTTTGGACATGCTAATAACCCTATTTTTTAACTAAATACTTAACAATAGGTTCTTCCTTTTTTATTTAATTTTAGTGGAAGCCGATCATTTATAGTAAAATATTTGGAAACACAAAACATTACATGCAGAAGAATTTACGTCGTTCGAGTCAATAACATTCTATGAGATTTGTTATTTTCCCTAACAGTGATAAAATAACCGAGTGATCAACACAAAAATTGATAATCTATAGATTGAATTCCAAACCAGTTAATGACTTGATTATTTGGTGGCAAATATGGAAAGCAAGAATGAATTCGACTTTGAGAATGTTTTTCCTTCTCCGCTAGCAGTCTCATCACATGCAGCTTGTGAGCTTGAGGACTGGTCTAGTATTGGGGAAGATTCATTTTCACGTCATCCCTCTTAGTCAAGGTAATACCATAAGATCCATGTCCCTCCGTCGAGGATCTACGACAAAGTGATCTTTGTGATGGCACTTTCAAAATCGACATCTAGTAGGCGAGCATTGCTGTGATTGAAAAGAATGCATTGAGGAAGGTTTACGACGGTAAAGATGAGAAAATCCTTGCCGCACAACTTAGGCTTTTGTGAAGCGGCAAGAAAGGCAAACTGTGAACTTTGCTCGGCCTTAATTACCTCATATTGTTTAGCTATTGTCGAAGCGTTGGGTAAACCAGTTGATGAATGGAGGGTGACTATGAACCATGTCAACTAGCTCTATTCCATGTTTTAAGATTTTACTGTCCATTATGTAAAAATGACTTCGGAAAGTTTAGGGTTGATGATGAGAACAATCAAACCTTCATGAATCTCATTTTCTATTTGTGGTGGTTTTTATTTTTATTTTGTAAATCGTGAATTAAGTCGGGAGTATCATGATCATTCTAGGTTGACTTTGGCCAGATTGAGAGTTTAGTCAAAGTCGAGTCAGCAAGGTGGGATCCACTATCATGACAATCTAATGAATAATTGACGGTGAGGGCATGATTAGAAACTGCCACATAGATCGGGTATTACTATAGAAGAAATTATAGTTCATGAATGCTATAGTTTGCTTGACTAATATATTTTTCTAATCCGAAATATATCTAAATGGATATAATTTTATAAAGTACAATTAATTTAAATTTTATTAAAAAATTTATTGTTTGAATTAGAACACATTAAATATGATTAACTAAAAAGTAATGAGGGAAGGGAGTGGATCTAGTTTAAAGCTTCTCTTTTCTCATACATGAGGGATATATGTATTGGAGGAGTACTCAAGTTTGAAGTTTCCATCTCCTTCCAGTAATATGTGTGTTCCGATGCCTTATTGGAAATAAGCAGAGGAAATCAGTTTTGTCTTTATTTAAGTGACTCCGTCCAGCTCCAGCCATAAGCTTTGTATTTATTTAATTGATTAATTGAGCTTAACAAAAGGACCAAGCTATCCTTCCGTGCTATGCGCACAACACATGAAAAGTAAAATGGGATCGGTTATGCGAGGGAATCTCCTTATATAATTTGGAGGACAAAAAGAGAGAAGAATGGACAAGTGTGCGATTATTTAATTTAATTTAATTTATTTTAATCAGACCCCAAACCTTTGTGCGATTATTATTGTCCGTCGTCATCGTAAAAGGCATAATAGGAAAAGAAAACGTTTCCGTCTGAATTTTCTTCTTTTCCCCGTAATAGTGTACTGTGTGTTGTAGTTGCTGTTCCATTTTCTTCCCTCCGTTCCTTCTCCCCCCACTACCCTCCTCCTCCTCCTCCTCCTCCTCCTTTTTCTTCTTCTTCCTCTTCTATATAAAACTCTCTCCCGTACACGGAACCTCAGAGAAAAAGGAGAAAGAATTTTTTTTTTATCTGTTCTTCCTTTCCTTAATTGCTTCTCTCATTCAATCCCCTCTGATTTCAATCATCCCTTTCTTCACACAGCTGTAGCAGCTAGCTCTCTCTTTTTTTTTTTTTTCCTTGCTTCCGAGTTATGCTCTGTCTTGGATTTGCAGCAACAATCTTCCATGGAAGCAGATAGGCAGAAACAGCTCTTCGACACCATAGCTAGCTCCAACTATTTCCTCTTCGGTTTCTACTGCTGGGATTGGGAATTCCTCACCGCTCTCCTTCTCTTCAGTTGCCCCGCCGCCACCACCATCTGAACAAACCCCATCCTCCCACCATTTCCATTTCTTTAGCTCTAGCTCTCTCAGATTAATTACAAGTACAGGAACCAAAACAGAGTTCCTCTCTCTTTTTATAGATTTTGATTGTTCACAGAGTTTCCCCTCAAAATTTTCGGGGAATCTTGGTGGCGGTGGTGTTTTTTTAAAATCGAGCGGAAAATATGGCTCAGAGATCGGTGCCGGCGCCGTTTCTGACGAAGACGTTCCAGCTGGTCGATGATCCGGCGACCGACGATGTGGTTTCGTGGAGCGAGACCGGCGCGACGTTCGTGGTGTGGAAGACGGCCGATTTCGCCAAGGATTTGCTCCCTAATTACTTTAAGCACAACAATTTCTCCAGCTTCGTCCGCCAGCTCAATACTTACGTAAGTTCTACCCCTCCCCTGCCTCCGCCATTTTTCCTTTTCTGCTAATGCTCAGAATTGTGCGTTTTCGGTGGTCAGTTCAATTGTTTTCTTGATTGGTTGGAAACGGTTGGAACGAGTCGTGATTGGTTAGGCAAATGATATTATTTAACCGAAAAATGAAAATTTTGGATATTACAAATTGAAGAAAGGAAACTTCGTCTGTAATCGTCTATCGACTGATTGCGGAAAAGAAGATTTTGTTCTTCGATTTTTTTTATACCTGCTTCCGACTTTGTAGGTAGTGGTTAGTTCCGGTCCATATTTGCCTGACCCAATAGGGTGATATATTTTTGTGATGTCCAATTTAACCTATAACTTAGCTAAAATTGAAATGTTAGGTGAGGGGTATTTATGACTTTTCCTATTTGAGCTCGTATAATACGAATAATAATAGTATTGCATGGTTTAGGTGTTCGAGTTGTACTCATGTATGGGAATTTTAAATAATTTGACAAAAAAAAATTGAAACTTTTTTTTATACTTTCATTTGTGATTATAAATATTATATATGTTACGTTATAGTCAGAAAATTTAGGGTGAAATGCAATTGTCACTGTGGTCACCCCAAAAATATTGGGTTGCACATGAAAGTGTCATGTCCATTTGTTTATTTGTATACTTTCTTGTTCCTCCAATTCAAACACCATTAGAATGGGTCATTATTGGGCAACAAAATTCAATACTGACAAAATGGGGAGGGGGGTTAAAGAAGTATGAACCTGTTACATACTTTTATTTTTTAAATATATATACAAGCCCCTTTTTGTTGACAATTTAAGCAAAATTTTAATATTTAGCTAGGCACCAAACTAGAAATTCCCCTTCATGTGTCCGTACATGCTAGTGGCATCTAACTACTTTGGTAAGTTGTGATCACGTTTTACTTAGATGCAAAAAGTCAAGCAGTCAAAATGAAGAAAACGAATATTCTTAAACAATTTGTTTTGAACCTATTGTCAGACAAACTTAAGGTCAATTACCTAATTTTTAACCTTTTTATTAAATTTAATGTATCCTTTTCGAGGTGATAAATATGATATATTATGTTTACTTAAATCTGTAAACAACCAAACATAATTTATTTCATTTACAACTAGTCGTCATTTGTCATTTGAAGTTTCTTCCCATTAGAGTTTATCTATTGTTATAAGAACCGAATCAGATCAACGGTTAGGCAAGTAGAACATAATTTTTATCATGAACGGTTCTATCAATGATTAACCACTGATTTTGTAACGGTTAACTTTTTGAACTCTAAACTACTAACTTTTCCAGTTCAGAGTCCAGTTCAGTTCTGAAAAACTGAAAGTTTATCTGTATTTCTTTGTCCAATTTTTTTTTCATTTTGAAGACATTTTATCCAATTTACCAAATAAAAAAAAATATTAATAGTGGACCTAAATCAAACCATACAAAATTAGTTAGATGTGTATTCCCATGGATGATCCTTAACTCATTATAGTAAACAAATATCGTTATTATGAGTAATTGTGGCTCTCAAACCGTTCTTTTGGGGGGGTTGGTGGCAATGAGAAAAGAACCTTACATTAGTGGAGAATTTTGAATGGGGGAAAGTCCCCTCACAGAGTCTGGTTTCAAATTGCCGTCAGAAATCTAAACTTGGACAAAAATTTCAATTGCGTACTAATTGCGCAAAATTCCAATTTAGTCCACTTCCACACAAAACACACATTCCACCTTATTGGCTGCGCCGATTTATCACCTAACCTCTACATCGACTGCCTGCCCGCCACGTGTTACTATCTCTCTCTCTCTCTCCCCCCCCCCCCCACTGATCTGACGTCATTACTTGCGCAGGGGTTTCGGAAGATCGTCCCGGACAAATGGGAGTTCGCCAACGACAACTTCCAGCGCGGCCGCAAGGAGCTCCTCTCCGACATCCGCCGCCGCAAAAACGTCACTCCGGCCCCACCGAAAGCCGGCGGAGAAGGCAACAGCAACAACGACGGCGGGGAGAACAACAACAACTCCTCGTCGCACTCCGGCGAGGACATGGGGTCCAGCTCGACGTCGTCACCCGATTCGAAGAATCCGGGGTCGACGGTGGAGACTGCGGCGACGACGACGACGACGCAGTTCGCGGAGCTGTCCGGTGAGAACGAGAAGCTGAAGAAGGACAACGAGCTGCTGAGCTCGGAGCTGGCGCAGGCGAAGAAGCAGTGCGACGAGCTGATCGCCTTCCTGACGGGTTACGTCAAGGTCGGGCCGGAGCAGATCCACCGCATCATGCGGCAAGGGGAAGCTTGCTCCTGGTCCAGCAGCGATGAAGTTGCGCTGGCGGCAGACGGCGGGCGTCGAGATGATGATGATGAAGAAAACTGGAAATCGGAGGAATGCGGAGATAACGACGTTGGCGGAGACGAAGAGAGCGGCGGTGGCGGTCTGAAGCTGTTCGGGGTGCTGTTGAAGTGCAACGCGCCGAACAAGAAGAAGAGGGGGCGCTCCGGCGAAGAAATTGGGTTCGGTGGTGCTGGGCCTCACGCCAAGGAAATCAAGCTCTGCAACTGAAGGAAGAATTGAGGGAAATGAGCAAATCTGGGTCGGGTGCTCGCGGTGGTTTCGGTGGGCCTAGCCCATATATGATCTGTAGTGTTTGGAATGAAGGGTAACCAGGTAGAAAGGGTGAGAAAGAAAGAAGTGAAGAAGGGTCTAGAATAATAAAGGTGTTTTCCACTTTTTTTTTTTGTTTTTGAACTTTTAATACTCTGTGTAGTAAATTGTCATAAATAAGCATTACAACACATGGCATCTAATAATGGATCGTCATGTTATTACACTGAAATTTACCAATTTGTGTTAGCCTAATATGTAGCCTTCCTTTTTGTTGAAGATAATTTGGTTTAGTGTCAATATGTAGGTAGGTTAATGGTTTGGGTTACTAAGAAAAGCACCACGCAAAAAGGATCTTTAGACATAAATATGAGTGTAAGTAGATAGTAGGAATTAGGGGTGACAATGAGATGATTCAGTAGGTATTTTGATCCAAATACTATCACTTATGGGTATTGGGTTGATTCAAATATTTTTTGATTGGTGTTGAATTGGGTATGGTTTAAATCGAGTCCAACCATTTGCATTGACCGGAATGAATCTAATTGTGGATAAAGTTTAAACATAAGATCCCAATATTAGTTTCCAGACCATCAAACCAAAACTCTCATTCAAACCGTAGGCACTAACAATAAGTCCAATTAAAACAACCATTTTAATGATAAATAGTCCATACGTTCCCACAATAGGTGCGAAAAAAAACATCAATATGCATCTTTAAATATCTACAAACCCATTTGCCAACTACTCAGACTCGGAAGTGTAGGATCCTATGCATTTAAATATTTATTTGTCAGCCCGTTTGTTTAGAGAGAGAATGCAACATTGGAAGACCAGTTAAAACGATTACCATGTTAACTGCACTGTTCAACACCCTACTGTTCAGTAATTCTTCCGATTCCAGGCACAAATTATTTGTACCCGTCAGCAATATGTTGATAGATCATTACCTGATGATATAAGATAATAAATGTTTTTTGTTTGACAAGTATAAATGGTTACTTTGTCTCAAATATAAGGCAAGAATATTTTGAAGTTACAAACATGAAAAATATAGATATAGTGAGTGATCTGTAACTTAGCCAGCAAATATTAGAGTGGAGCGGGACTGAGAGGAGATTGTGGCCAGTAGGCAGTAACTGATGGGAGTTGCTAAAGGTCGCCCTTAAAATTGCTAAAGGTCGCCCTAAAAAGAATAAAAGTTACACTTTTAACCCCCATAGCTTCTTTACCTTCCCTTCCTCAAACAAACATCACTTGGACTAAAAAAACACTCTCTAAGGAGAGAAAAATCTCTCATCGTCATTTTGAAGCCGATATCGTCGATAGGACGTCTGAATCATGAGTAGCGACTCCGACGAGGTAAGAACATGAACTAAAAAAAAAAAAACACAGAAAATGGGAACCGCGGGTGATTTGCGGTCCGACCATGGTCCAACCGCAAGTAACCTGCGGTTGGACCATGGTCGGACCGCAAATCACCTGCGGTTGAGCCATTGGTGGACCGCAATTGGTGGACCCGCTCGTGTGGCCACTCCCAACTGTCTGTAGAGATAGGCTAGTGCACCAGCTCCCCAAGCGTAATCAGCCAATCGTCGATGATCCTTCAGAAACAAGTTGATCGCAGGACGAAGGCGATCACGACTCTTATCCACAAAAAGCGTGGATCCCAGCAACACAAATAGGTAACACTGCACCTCCATCTCCTTAATCTTCAGCTCTCCCCCACGCACCAACAATCCCTCTGCATGCATAGCACCATTATCGTACCACTTCGACTTCCACTTACCACCAACCTGAGCATCCACCGAAAGTCGAACTAGACCACCCATGTCTGACTTAAGAGTATCCTGCGACGCCTCATCTCCCATCAGCTCTCCGTCAACCGGTATCCGAAGAATGTGATGCACATCGTGTAGAAGGATCGAAATCTCTCCAAACGGCATGTGGAAGGTGTTTGTGTCCGGCTGCCACCTCTCCACAAATGCCGACAGTAGAGCCATGTCTAAATGCTGCATCATGCACCCCGTCAAGTGAGACAATCCTGTGGCTTCAACCATCTCCTTGGAACCCTCTGCACTCCACTTATATCGCCTCAAAGTCTCTACAGCTCTCGGCCTATGAAAGCCGTCCAACACTCCACGGTCCTGCTCAGGGGAATTCCACAGTACCAAGCCAATGTGACCTCCAAAGCTAGGGATCACATCGGGAATCACTGGTCCACCTGAACACATCGGAGACTCGGCTGTAAGAAACCACGACATATCTTTCCTCGTGGTCTTCCTCTTCCTATTTCCATCTCCGCCATCCTCGCTACTAGGTCTGGACGCATAGCGTCCATCGGGCCCACGGAAGTGGGAGGAGGCAGTAGAAGATACCCCGACCCGTGCCGTCTTCCCCACGCCTAAATCAGCTTGAGGTGGGGCATCCCCAGCCTCAGCATCACCAGCACCATCAACAGCATCATCACCAGCAGCATCACCAGCAGCAGCACCAGCATCTGGGGCATTCCCAACCTCAGCATCACCGTCATCATCATCATCCTCGTCAATGGAATCACTCCAATTAGCCTGCCATACCGGTGCGGTATCTGGTGTAGGAGTACTGGTAGTGCCTCGACTAAGAGACAACTGCCCCACAGTAGGGTGGCCGTTAGGACGCACTACATCCGCCTTCTTCTTCCTTCTAACCTTAGGTGGATTTTTTTCTTCATTTTCCTTCCTACCAGTCGCCGTAAGTCTACAAGCACGACCCTCCATTCTCTCCTTATTTCTCGCCTTAATCATATCCGGTTTACCCATTCCATGTCCAGACATCTTCAAAAAAAAGTTTGAATTATTAATAATGGAGTACATAAAGTAATTAATTTAAGATTTTCATAATTAAAATTATAAAACTAATAGTTTTAACATTATGTTACGTTCTATGTAATAATTATTTACTTTTTAATCAAGGTCAAATTATTAATAATTAAGTAGATAAACGAATTACTTAGAAATTTTGATTATTAAAATGATAAAAACACATTTTTAATTTTTTCATAATGTTCTTTAAATTTGTTATCTTCAATTAACAATTATCGAATACGATTTTAAATTTTTTTATATTATATAACTAAATTATAACTAAATTAATATTATAACTAAATTAACATTTATCGAATACGTTATTATTAATTATCATTATAACTAAATTAGTATTTATCAATAATATAACTAAATTCTTTTATTATGTATATTTTTTAAATTTTTATTATTATTATTAACATTTATTTAACGAATAATAAAACACAGAATTTAAAAAACAGAATTAAAAAAAACCGAACCGCGGTCAATGCGCGGTTTGACCGACGGTCAACCGCGGTCAACGCGCGGTTTGACCGACGGTCAACCGCGGTCAACGCGCGGTCCGACCTGCGGCTGACCGCGGTCAAAGCGCGGTTTACCCATCGGTCAACCGCCCTTTGACCGCGGTCAGCCGCTGGTCGGACCGCGCGTTGACCGCGGTTGACCGTCGGTTCAACCGCGCGTTGACCGCGGTTGACCGTCGGTTCAACCGCGCGTTGACCGCGGTTCGGGCAAATTTTTTTTTTTTTTCTTACCTTCTTCTCCACGACGCGACGGGACGGGCGACGGGCGGGCGGCTGGCGACGGGCGACGCGACGGGCGGCTGGCGACGAGCGATTCTCCGCGAGGCAGGCGGCGACGGGCGGCGACGGGAGGCGACGGGGGCTGGCGGCTGGAGGCGACGGGGGCGGCGGGCTGGCGGCGGGAGGCGACGGGGGCGGCGGGCCGGCGGCGGCAGGGGGCGGCGGGCTGGCGTCGCCGGCGGTTGAGGGGGAGGGAGTGAGTGCAGAGGTGAGAGTTGGGGGGAGGGGGAGGGAGAATGAATTTGAATTTGCCTTAAGGGCTTGTTTGTTTTGAGTTTTTGCTTAAGGGCATGTAGGTAATTTTATATTTTAGTTAGGGCGATGTTTAGCAATTCTTAGGGCGACATTTAGCGATTCAGTAACTGATTAATGGCTGTCAGACTCACCTCCGCCTCCTTCTTCTCCTTCACCGGTCTCTCCTCTTCTCGATTCCCTTCCAAATCTCTCCCTCTTCTCACCTCTTCTTCCCCCAATTCCCCAGCCACCAAAACCACCTCCTTCGTTGCACTCTCTTCACCATCACCCCTAATGGCCGACGACGACGACCGCCTCAAATTCATGGACTTCCCCTTCGCCTCCGGCCCCATCAGAGACGCCATGGTCGATCTCGTCTCCACCGTTGAGAATCGCCTCGCCGCTCACCTCCTCCCTTCAACTCTCCCGCCAGACGCCCAGTATTGCCGCAACGATCCCGGCACCGCCCACGCCTCCCTCCACATCCGCCCCGGCCACCATTCCTCCCCGGTAAAAAAACATCCCCAATTCAATTAGGGTTCTTAAGAAAAAAACTATCAAATTGAAGCTAATTTTCGTCAATTTGTTTCAATTTCTTTCGTAGGTGGATTTCATACTTGGGAGTTGGCTTCACTGCAAGCTACCCACAGGCATGGGATCGCTGAACATAACGAGCCTCTCAGCATACCTAAACACTTCCACCGACGCGCCAAACTTGTTGATAGAGCTGATTCAGAGCAGCCCGGATACCCTGATTTTCATCCTCGATTTGCTTCCTCGAAAAGATCCCGTCTTCCATCCCGACTACCTCCACGAATTCTACGAGCAGACTAATTTGGACTCTCACAGGCAACTTCTGGAGAAGCTCCCTGAAGTCCGTCCCTACTTCTCCTCGTCGCTCTACCTCCGTAGCATCCTCTCCCCCACCGCGATCATCGTCAGGATCCAGGGCGGCGGGACTGGCCGGGTAGAGGAGATTGTGAAGGAGTATGTGCATCCGGTGGCGAAGGAAGTTGTGGGTATCTGGTTGGAGAAATGTGCGTTGGAGAAGAGAGAATTGGGGGAGGAGGAATTGGCGCGTTTGAGGAAGAGGGATGGTTTGATCAAGAGCAAAACCATCGAGATTGATCTGGGTTCCAATTTGCCCAGGCTGTTTGGGCCAGAGGTTTCTGAGAGATTGCTTGGAGCTGTAAGGACATATTATAATGGCTGAGAAAGTAGCAGCTTTCATATGAAATAGTAATAGTGAAACTAAAGTAGAACTCTTTTGATGGCATAGAAGTCTAATTGCAATGGCAAGTTGAGGGCAGAGTACTCTGTTCTGCTATCTGGGTTCTGAAACTAATCATACAAGCACCATTCCTTTTTGAGCAACATCATCACCTTCAAATCTGCAAGGGCATTGATTGATTTGAACTTTGATACTATTTGGATTGCTGGATTCAAAGTAGCTAAAGGTGCCATTCTACAGAGATTCAACCCTACGAAGCTCGCCCCGTTGGGAGATGAAGTAACCTAACAGTATTCTGTCTTGATCAACAGGGAAAGGACTGCGAACTAATCAACATCTCTGGATTTGGACATCGAACTCATTTCCTTCGTCCCTCAGCTCAAAAGTGCAACGGTCCCATGCTTTGAGAGAGTTATCCATTGCAAACTTCCACCAACCTTTGGACATCCAACATCCCGTTTTCCTTTCATACCTCACAACCTTCACCGCCCAAGATTCGCCTCCAACGTTGAGCTTCACCATGATATCTCCCTTCTCTCCCGATCCGGTCGCGAGATACGTCTCCACAAATCTGTTAGGCACATTAAGCTGCACAACAAACCAGCAAGGAAAGCCAGAGTTGGAGTGCAAAAAGAAAAATGTAACTTTCAGGAGAAATCGATCAAATGATCATGATTTGCAGAACACCGGCTTCATACATTGTTAACTCCTGACTTGCGGCTGTTCTTTACGATGACTTTCGTGAAAGATGGCCGCCGCCGCGGCAGGACAGAGTTAGTGGCAGCTGCCGCAGCAGCTAGAGAGAACAAAAGGTAATTCAATGACTTCACATCAGAGTCCAAACAAAAAGCTACAATCTTTAAACAACTGGGGAAAATGAAGACTCCTCTTTACCTCCATCTTCCGTAGCAATAATTTTTGCCGTTTCCCCATTAGGCACCCCAACTATGAACTGTGAGTACTTCATCTCTGCCGCAGATCGATCGAATATTTTTACAGAGAAATGGGAGTTGCCCAGAAGCTCAAAGAGCAAGAAATGGCCGTGTTGGAAATGGTAATGTTGTGAGAACTGTTGCCAGCCTTTTCCAAACCAAACCCTTTTTCCTAAATCATCTCTCACCAGCTCTACAAGCCACGCATCACCATTTGGGAGCTCGAGGGTTACTGGGTTAGAGACGCAATCAAAATGGTCCATGGAGTATTTCTTGGGAACCAGCTGCCAGAAGAAGGGCAATGCCAGAAGCAGGAAAGTCATGTACAGGCGGAGAAGCTTAGCGAAATGGGTAAAGAAGAAGAAGGAAAAGGGTTTACCATGTTACTCTCTTGAATGTCTTCATCCACAAGTATTTTGAAGAACTTTGGACCCTCCTCCAAGCAAGCACTCATCGTGTTCCTTCCAACAGCTCTCAGTTCTCCGCCTTTGATCCAAATTCCAAACGAACTTGTTCTCAAGAAGATTATCACTAAAAAGAGTGGTGGTGTATGCGAAGATATGGGTGAGGGAGGTTTGATTGATCTTGTACCAGTTCGACAGTCAAAGAAACTCTGAAAGATGAACTGGCTGCCGCTGCTGAACTTGCTAATCAAAGCAAAGATACGGAGAGAGAAAGTAAACTCTTCTTTTATTCGCCATATTTGCTCACCTCATCAGACAAGGTACAAAAGATAAAATCTTTTACTTTTTTGTGGGTTGAGCCGTTGGGGTAATAAGTTAATAACTACTCTTTAACTTTTATTTTTTCCAATAACTCGTTTGGAAGTTGCGATAGTTTTGTTGAGATTGTCATTATGTATGTATTGTTTACAATGCATCGTTTTTTTGTTTTTTTAGAAGAAACAATACATGGATTGTTTCTGTGATGTGACAGAAACTATCACTCATTTTGAGTGATTGTTATATCTCAACTTTTAGTTGTGATTGTTGAGATAGTTGAGTTGAGATTGTTTTGTCTCAGTTTTTAGCTAATGCGACATACACAATCACACATACCAAACGTTGTATTCTACAATGCATCAAATTCGACAATACGTGTATAATATTATACATGCATTCTCAACAATACATCTATTTAACAATCGCAACTTCCAAACGACCCCTTACTTGTATTACCAAGACGAAAAGATAAGATAATAAGAGTTTACACGAAAAAAAAGAGTCTAAAATCAAAAGAAGCAACACTTGCAATTAACAAATAAAGGGTCTTCATTTACCTGTGCGTTATAATGTTGCAGTAAAACATCCTCGGTATATTGTATATGATCAAACATTACCCAATTCCGGGACTTCCATATTCGCCACAGTAAGGCAACAAAACGAAACACCCACTCCGAATTCGCATCACACTCTATATACCTCCTAACTTACTTTTTAGTTAGGTGACAAGTAATAACTAATAACTAAGGAATCACACCAAAAGAACTGGATCGCTAAAAGTACTACTCAAATTACTATTTGTCACCGTAACATTAGTGCATAATTTATAGGGGTGGTAATCAGTAAACCGGTATTCAGGCGTGTAATTTTCCATTCGGTAATACTGGATAATTGGTGGTAATTACCGACGGTATACCGGTACACCGTAATACCGAATATTAAAAAAAAAAAGTAAAACTCATCGCGCAGCGCACAGGGGAAATGGATTTGGGAATTGCGAATTGGGATTTGGGGCAGCAGACGTCGACCAGCAACCCTAATCCCTGATATTGCGATCGACCTCCCTCCCTCCCCAGCAGCCAACTCCTTTCTTCTCCTCTGATTCGCCGCCCCCCCGCAACCAGCCCCGACCTTCTTCTTCCTCTTCTCTTCAGCCCCAGCATCCAGCAGCCAGCAGTACCAGTTCTCGTCGAAGCTCACCAGTCGACACCAGCAGCAGTCGCCGACGGAGAGCTACGTCGTCCCCAGCATCTCCGCCGTCCTCTTCTCTTCACCACCAGAAGCAGTCCCCAACGGTCTACTTCCTCCTCGCCATCCCCGACCGGCCGACCGGGTATTCGGTATACCGGTTTAATACCGATTACCGACTATCCGGAATACCGGTATACAGGTTAACATCCGGTATCGGTATTCGGCGAGCACAATGTCTGTTTTCGGTATACCGAATACCGAGGTATCGGTATCCAGTATACCGGATACCAACCGACTACCAGCCCTAATAATTTACATATTTGTCCAATTTGAATTTCAAATTAAAACCTGAACAAACACCCCCTCTCTATCCTACCTCCCGAACTAACCCCATGTCGCCGACCTTGTCTTTGCCATCAGTTCTCCCATCCTCCTCCTTTCTCATCCCAACCGCCGCCTTGCTCTGCTCCTGATCAGTTGTCGAGCAAAATCAAATTAACTGAATAGATACAAGGGTTACTCAAATCAAATTCTCGTTAGGTCTCTAACAAGTATATTACTCAAAACTTAAAGATGAAACCTAGATTAAACAAGTAAGTATTGAAATTGAATTGGTGAAAAGAACTAGTTTAAACAAAGAAGGGAAGAGGGCAATTCGAATAGAGCAAAACAGAAGCAAGACGATTATCTAGATTGTGGTCCCACTAGGTCTGACGGATATCATGTAACGTGAGTTAATTAATCCTTTTGATGGGTTTCATCCTACCCTTGTGTCTGACATTTTTCATATCTAATAGGTTGTGTTTGGTCTCCTTCAATACAAAGTCATATTTGAAGCTATCGACACATTATAACAACAGTTAGGCATGCAATCATATTGATAAGAAATCATCCAAAAACATCAATCCAACATCACATAATCAAAATAATCCATTATCCCTAGGGTTTTATATAATATGAACTATGAACAATCTAAGAGTTTAGTTATCCATGAATACATGAGAAATCACAAATAAAAGGAGGGATGTTACCATGGTGATTTCGTTCTCGAATCTTGACTTTCTTCTCCGTTTAAGGCTTGAGAGCTTCTCATGGTTGTATTTTGGTGGCTAGCCCCTACTGGGAATGTACAAAGAACTGAGATGGTTGTTGCTTCCCTCAAAATTGAATTTTATACACGATTTCCATAATGGGGTGTTTTTTAGTCAGTCAAACAACCATATTGGTCTTCAAGCCACCATATTGGTTCGGCTCATTTTGAGGATGGTATCCATGTCTGGTCAGAATGCATAAATGCACAACTCCAGGAAACGACTCCCAAATGCCGTTTTGGGCTCCACCTCCAAACGATCCATTTCAGACTTTCATCAACTGGGTCTTGATTTCACAGTTCGATCGAATATGTTTGCAGAGAAATGTGGGTTAACCAGAAGCTCAAAGAGCAAGAAATGGCCATGCTGGAAATGGTAATATTGTGAGAAGTGAGAACTTTTGCCCGCCTTTTTCCTAAATCATCTCTCAACATCTCTAAATGTTGCGGTTACTCAAACCGTGTTAGTATTGGGCCTTTTTGGGTCTTTTCCGAGTTGTATTGGGAACGGATAATTAGCCATACTCGGCTCTTCTCGTTAGGGTTTTAACCCTAAATCTTTCTCTATATAAGATTTAGCTACGGTCATGTCGTAAGCAAGTCGTCACAATGTAAACCTAATAAGAGATCAGTTGTGAGCTCTTCAGAGCTCACCGAGGATTAGTCATGTTCACATCGAACAAGGATACCACGTAAAACTCCCGTGTTCTGTGTTCTTTTCGTTCTTCCGCGTTATCAAATTCTTCATGTAGCAAGTAAATCTTTACCAACATCACAGTCATGGCATTGAAGACAATCATAACCGGCAGTGGTCATCTATTCAAATAGCTAGTGTTGGGGAAAAAGAACAGCTTCTTTCAACAAAATTTTCAAGTCATCAGGTCGAGGCGTTCACGATCCATAAAATGGTTGTCCCTTGGCGTTCAAAATGTAGTACGATCAGAGAAGTCATCGTCCCTTCAACGTGCAGTTGACATTCACGATCCAAGAAATGGCCGTCCCCTCTTCCGGTTCATTATTGGACACATATAAACCATTCATCGATTTTCAAGCCGGGCATTCACGATGTTCATGCTCCAGCTTGAGGGAGAGAATACGAGGTCAACATACGTCGGTCGACTAACTCAGTCATTAGGTCGACCGCGATGTACCAAGTGTGTTCAAGTTTAAGAGACGCAGTCAACCGTCTCAATCATCAGGTTGTTCAGAGAGAGAGTCATTCGTCTCCAATCAACCTCGTCCGAGATGTTATTCATCTCGAGTTTTGTGGTTCAAGCCATCATGCTTGTTCTTCAAATTTCCTTCTTCAAGCTCGACATTCTTGTCATTCATGTCTTCGCTTGAGGGGGAGAGTTGCGGTTACTTAAACCGTGTTAGTATTGGGCCTTGTTGGGCCTTGTCCGAGTTGTAGTGGGTACGGATAATTAGCCATACTCGGCTCTTCTCGTTATACTTTTAATCCTAAATATTTCTCTATATAAGGTTTAGCTACGGTCATGTCGTAAGCAAGCTGTCATAATGTACACCTAATAAGAGATCAGCTGTGAGCTCTTCAGAGCTCATCGTGGATTAGTCATGTTCACATCAAACAGGAATACAATGTAAAATTCTTGTGTTTTGTATTCTTTTCGTTCTTCCGCGTTATCAAATTCTTCACTAAACGCCACACATCACCATTTGGGAGCTCGAGGGTTACTGGGTTAGAGACGCAATCAAAATCGTCGGTGGTGTATTTGTTGGTAACCAGCTGCCAAACGCATGAAAGTCATATACAGGCTGAGAGGCTAAACGAAATGGGTACAGAAGAAGAAAAAGGGTTTTACCATGTTGTTCTCTAGAATGTTTTCATCCACAAGTATTTTGATTAACTTTGGACCCTCCTCGAACAGTTCTCAATTCTCCGCCTTTAATCCAAATTCCAATCGAACTTGTTCTCAAGAAAAATATCTCTAGAAAGAGTGGTGGTGTATATGGGTGAGGAAGGTTTGATTGACATTGCCACAGTTTTGACAGTTAAAGAAACTCTGAAAGATGAACTGGCTGCAGCTGCTGAACTTGCTAATGAAAGCAAAGATATGGAGAGAGAAAGTCAAAAGTCTTCTTTTCTTCGCCATATTTGCTCACGTCACTAAGACAAGGTACAAAAGTTAAAATCTTTTACTTTTTGGTTGTTGGGGTAATAAACTAATAATAACTACTATTAACTTGCTTTTTAGTTACATAGGCGATAATTAATAATTGAAGAAATTAAATCAAAAGGTATTTAAGATAGTCTAACCGAAAAACTATCACGACAGTAAAAATATGAGAGTTGCAGATCCTAGATTTGAATTCAAATGAGACCTGTTGGTGTTCCCGAAGGTACAAGGTTGTCGGGGGCGAAGCCTCGTTGGCACGTGGGGCAGAGGTTTCTGGGTAATAAAAAAAAAGGAAATTACACCAAAAGGAATGGGTCGCCAAACATTTGTTTGAAAGCTATCACCAGAGAATTTTAACCCGCCCCGTGAGTATTACCCAACTTGCAGTAGTGTGTGGCGAGGCATGGATATCTACTTGTAACTCGTCCTGTCCCGTCCCGTTCTTGGCTCATTTTAACTCAAATACTTACAATATCTATTCATATTTCTCATATTTTGACTTATCTTCAACTAATTAGATTTAATTACCCGTTCTATTATCACTATTTTTCATTAACTAAGTATTTTTCCCTTCATTTTATCGTAAAAAGTAAAATTTTGCGTGTATTTTTTTCATATAACATGTAAGAGTGGGTTGACCCTTCCCACCCCATACTCGAGCAGGTATTACCCACCCGACCCTTAATAGCGTGGGGCGGGGCATGGGTATTGAGGTACCCACCCTGTTGCCATCACTAGCCATCACCAATCGATTGAAACCAATCATTCACAAACTCATAGCACCAATGCATAGTAGTTTCATACCTGGGAGGAAGACATCTGATAATATTATTGTGATGCAGGAAATGCTTCATATGTTGCGTAAGAAGAAAGGTCAACGTAGGGGATTAGTTATTAAAATTGACCTTGAAAAAGCTTATGATAGGCTTCATTGGGACTTCCTCCGTGATAACCCTATTTGAAGTTGGTCTTCCAAGTAGTTAGATAAGCCAGATTATGTTCTGTGCGGAACACAATACCATGAGACTCAAATGGAATGAGAACTCTCACCGCCAATCACCCCTACCCGAGGGGTTCGCCAGGAAGACCCTCTATCGCCTTATTTTTGTGGCTTATGTATGGAACGTCTTTCACATAGAATCAATCAAGCTATTGATGAGAAATTTTGGAAACCCTTGAAACTCTCCCAAGAGGGACTAGAACTTTCGTATCTCGTTTTTGCAGATGATTTAATCCTTTTCGCAAAAGCAGAAAGAAACCAGATTGATACTATTAAAGGGTGCCTCGAAGATTTTTGTGAAAGCTCGGGAGAAAGGGTAAACCTCTCCAAATCGGTCATGTATGTCTCCCCCAATATAAGGCAAAGCAAAGCAACCGACTTGAGCAATAGAGGAGGCATCCCGCTTACATCAAACATTGGGTGTTATCTTGCAAGCCATCAACGGGTGAGTTAACAAGGATCGATACTCTGAGCTCATCTGTCGAATTAAAAAAAAACTCTCTCCGTGAAAGGCGCTACGATTGTCATTAGCCGCTCGTTTGACAGTCGTCTAATCAATCTCCTCCTCATTCTCTATGTATCATATGCACACAAAATTCTTGCTTGCTTCTACTTGCATGTACTTTGACCGGTGTAACATGGACTTTGTTTGGGGAGATACAGAGGAGAAGAGAACGATGCTCAAGGTCTCATGGGACAAGCTAAAAGAACCAAAAGCCAATGGGATAGTAGGACTCCTATCTACCCGGCATGCTAACCTCACAATGCTTGCCAAGTACACAACAATCGCAGTTCATTGCACAAACAGAAGTAGTTTGGCTCTCTTATAATCTTTCCAACAACAACCTAGGACCTCGACAAAGTCCATGGGAAAATTTCTTTGCAATCTCAACATGGATACTTTGGATGCAAAGGAATGAATACTCCTTCCATGGTCACAGTAAGGTTCTCAGTCCGCCATCCCTAACCAATGATATTCTATGGACAACAGACTTATGGACAACAGCTTGGAATTCCTCTATGCCAAAGCTTAACAATATGCAAGGGCCAGCAGAAAGAATTTTAGCCCAAATCGGATGGAAGCCCCCTGATAACACTGCAGTTGTACATATTTTTCAGCTATTTCTTGACTGTATGGCAAAGTATTTGCTTGGTTCTTGACCTATTTTACGCTAGGGTGTGCTTGTTTGTGACATTTCAGGTACTAGTTTGTGAAT